GTTCTCCGTCCATATCTTTCTCCTGAGGTAGGAAGATATATGACAAATTGGTGGTGACTGTGAGATGCGCCTCATCCATTAGATGCAATTCGAAAATCAGGACCCAAAAATGGAATGCTCTTTGATTGCCACCCCTGAGAAATTGCCCCCGAGGAAGTTCGATCTTCACAGGAGCGATGAAAGTGACATTGTGTCCGCGACGATCCAAGAAGCAATGACCAATTCCGCTTCAATGACGATGCCCAAGAAGAATTCGGCTGCTGGTATATGCCGAATAGATGAAGAAGCATCGTCCAAACCTAAAAGAAGTCCAAATTCAATGATAGGAGCTCCGGAATGGCTTGCGCAGAAGAAAAGCGAAGCCTAAAGAATGACAATCACAGGATCGGCGGTATATGCGCCTTCTCCTAAAAATTAAATTATGAAAAACAAAAAAAAAAAATGAGTAATGAACGACGCTGCATACCGCTCTCAAAGAAATTATGTGCCCTAAGAGAGCCTACCCCCGATTTATAACAAGCCGTAAGCCCCGAAGAAGCAAAAAGAAGGATGGAAGCGGCACAAGACGGGGGACGAAGACGGAGGAAAGCTAAGAGTTTGGAACATGAAACGAAGATATGTGATGGTGCTATGATGATTGGAATTGGTTGTTGGTGCCGACCTTGCAGTTTTTATCACCTTCAACAAGAATTTGATATATCAACGAATTCACGAAGTCCGAAGTAGTACAACCAATTGTTCCTTCGCACATCGATGAACCAGAGGATTTCGTACCATCCACACCGATCCTTGTGACAGAATCTGTCAATGATAGTGATATCAACGACGAAGATTCTAGTTCTGAGGATGGTGAGAAGGAACATGCAAAATCAAAAGACGAAACATGACCACAATATCAAAGAGGAGAGAGGAAAGAGACCGCTTACCTCTTATCAAGACGTCGCCCCGAGAATACGGCCGGTATGCCGTACGATCGCCAAAAAGAATGACAATGAATGGACGGAGCAGAGAACCTGCCAAGAAAAGAAACGGTATTCAATAGTTTTTCCGTTTTAAAATAAATAAATAACAAAAAAAAAAGAAAATGTGCTTATCTGGAGCGAGTCGTCGGTCCCGAGGGTCATGCCGGGATACTGACGATCACGAAGAAATGTCGCGGCATCAAAGAATCAAGGGACGAGTTCCTACAAAGAAAGAAAGGACCGTTTGAGGAAGAATGGCGAAGAAACCAGAAGGCAAAGAACCAAAACTTACCGATGAGACTCCGGTAGCATATGCGAGGGATGATGGATATTGCCGAGGGTCAAGGAGAACCCGCGGATGGTGAATCGAACATGAAGCATGGGGCTAGGAAAAGACTGGTAAGAAAGAGTTAGAAGCCAATGGTAGAACGCCGCAAAAGAAAGAAAACGCCACGACTTACCAGAATTGCACCAAGACGATTGGAAATACACTTTGATGCCGTCATAATCGTGATCACGGTCATGATCACGATCGCGCATTGCCCTCTAATCACGACGAAGACAAACGCCGCAATGACACAAGGACCTACGGGAAAAGAAACTAACGGAAGTATGTGAAAATAACACCAACAACCAAGACCATACTTACCAGGACGGACCTCCAACGACACCGACGACGAAAACGACGAATGCTACGAATCGCGACGACAAGCCCATAAACACCGAATTCGTCGAACCGTAGAAGTGACAAAGGCGGACGAAACCAAGCAAGACTCTGATGGAAAGAAAAAGAAGACAAGAATGATGATAGCCCCGACGATTGGAAACACCAGGATGCTGTCATAATCGTGATCACGATCATGATCACGATCACGTGCCTCGATCGATATCCACTATCCACTGATTGACCCCCGAAGAAACCACGATAAGTATCAAACGGAAGAATGAAACACTTGCCTGCTGCCAGTAATAGACGACGAGCTGGGAGGGTGCAAACAAAAACAATACTTCCTACATTCAAGATCGCCAAGGAAGCGATCGTGACATAGGGGAAAGGATAAAGAGAAATTAGTGCCCGAACCAGTCAAATGCTACAAAAATAATAAACCCGAATGAAACTATTCTACAACTGAACAAGAATGTTTAGCAGTAATTTGGACTGTTGAACATTTCTATCAATATCTCAGAACTAGTCATTTTTATCTTATAACTGATCACTTTGCTCTCCAATAGTTGAAAACATCTGAACTCAAAGGAAGAAGAGCCAGATGAATCCTGCGTCTAGAATCCTACAATTATATTGTTATCCATTGAGTAGGAAGAAAACATAACAATACTGATGCTATGTCACGAATATATGAAGGAGAAGAACCTATCTATATGCTCCAAACAGAAGATAATGATGATTGGATATCTGAACATAGCTTTGTGACTACCAATTCTGTTGCATCTTACGATTTTAATCCAAAAGATATACTCTATAAAGTTGAATAGTTCATCACAGGAAGATATTGTTCTGTTTGTAAAGAAAGAGCTGAAGACCATCACACTCATACTTTTTGCAACTGTTGTAAAAAGTTGTCCAATAGGAACAGATATCCTTCAAAGATGAATGCATCTGTAAAAGAAAACAAATGGCAGACGATACTTGATCAGTAATAACTCAATCCACTCAAATTATTTTGGATAAAATTCGACCACAACCATTGTTACCAAGGAAATTTAAACACTAGTTACAAGACTATGATTTTCAAAGAATATCAAGAACAAGATTGAGAAATGAAGAGTTTGAAGAACCTATTCAATTATTTGACGATTATTGGTGACTTCCAAAACTTGAACAAACTTCCAAATGATACAGAGAAGAATTTAATAATTATTCCAAAAATTATCTTTGCAACTCAATCTGGTGGATGGATACTAATCCTGTCACCTATTACTAAACTATTTTTGAAGAAAACCATCAAAGAAATCTGACGAAAAACAGAATCCAGTCCAGGTCACTAGTCAAAATAGTGCCATTCAGCATGCTGCCACTTGTCAAACATTCGGATACAACATTCGATATAGTATTATTCGGCAAAAATTCGGCATAATACTACTCGGCAAAAATTCGGCATATGCCGATTTATAAAATAATATTTTATTTTTGTAATAATTATAATAAAATAAAATAAAAATAAAATTTACAGTATATTTTTTTTAAAAAAATCAAATTTAGATAAAAAATGTTTTATGCCTAATTATAGCCAA